AATGCCTTTCTAACAGGCAGGTGTTAGCAAAGGCCATTTCCCATGATGACAAATTTCAGCACTTGAGTTTGGCTTTCACGGACAGGGATGGTGGTTTAGAAGTACAAGTTTTTGAGAAAGCCCATGAATGACTGTTTGTAACAGTATGTCAGAACAGATACTCTTCTGCTCTTGTTCTTCAATTGTCACGAGGTGACAGCTAACTAATTATTATCACAAATATTTGTTAATTCACTGTTTTGCAGGAATTCCCCTTTGTGGCTTACTCCATTTTGTGGGTCAGTAGGTATATCAGGAAACATTCCAGCCTGAGGACCAAAGGAACACAATAACACACCTTACAAAACCCAGCAATCCATTTGCCTTTACATTTATAATAAAGCTATACTTTAGAAGTGCCAATAAAGATTACTTAACATGCAGAAAAGCAACAAGAGACCTCATTTAATACTCTGTTATTAAGTCCTAGCTGGGAAATAAGACCAGCAGAGCCTGGGAAGGTAGCCATATTTTAAGAAATTAAGAAATCAGGAATTAAGGTAGGATTTACAACCTCTTGTAAATATCCATAAAATACTGACTTTTCAGCATAATTCAGACAGCACATACACACAGATTGTTTTGGAGGGAAATGCATGTGACCAGCATACACACACCAGCTATCAGCCTTTGACCATGTACACTGCAACCCAAGACCCTCAGTCCTGCAGCTGTGTCCTCAGACATCTGATTGGCCCTCAAAATGCTGCTGGTCCGAGTGCCCACCATGGGTGGACAACTGTCCACTTAAACCCGATGAAGTCACAGAAGAAGTATCAGCTGAAGGTATACCTTTGCTTGCTGTCCTATACAAGCAAATCCACATATCAAACAGACTGCCTCTGACTGTAAGTGCACATCAGCAGAGGAAAACATCAGTCAGAGCAGCTCGTGGACCAGGTTATGCTTAAGAAATGACTTGATAAACCTGACACACTAACTACAAATCATGCTTTAATTTTCTCCTGCTTACTTCTTACCCAGACTTGATATCTTACTCATTCATCTCTTCTTTCCAATGGACTCTGATACTACAATGCTGTGCCAGAATCACATTTTCAGTGATCTTCATTCTTATCTTCATTCATTTCTGCCTTGCAAATAATCAGCTGCCTGGCTCTGCTTTCAGGTCTTGGGTGTCCATGACTGGGCATCCACGCACTACTTGAGCACTGGCCAGCCTCACTTGGACCTGCTGACCTTAGAGCTGCACTGCAAAGGTCTTTGTTCACCCCTTTGCTGTTTAATGCTCACAAGGCTTATCAGCTTTGTTTGATTTACCTTTATTAATCATCTGCAATCTCAGGTACTGCTCATCCTAACATTGTCCTGGATCAGCTAAGTTGAGCTAAAGGTTTTCCATGGCTGAGGCTGACACCTGAAAACCTGTACGTGTAAGATGGAAAGATACAGCATCTTTGTGTCTTCCTGAAGACAACTAATGGCTTTTGCCACTTCTCTAATAACATCATGCTTTGGATGTCTGAAGAGGTAGTTATTAATTTTTATGGTTGGAAGAATGTAAGAAACACAGGAATGACCACACTGGATCCCATCCAGTGTCAGAAACAGAGGAAGGGTCACACTGGATCCCTTCCAATGCTCTTTCACGTCTTTCAGCACATACAGTCACTTAAAGGTAAGGTAAAAAGTTTGAAACAGAAAATGTAAATAATCTATCCTCCTTCTCCTCACAGTGTCATTAGATGAAAAGCTCTTAGAGACTGACCTAAACCTCAGAGTACGACACTGCAAAAAACCACTGCCACAGCTCAGAGTACTTTTTGCCTCCCAAAGAAAACTGGAATCTTGTTTTGAACCTCGCTGCAGTCTTGGATGAAGTCTTGGCCTCAATAAGTTTCAATGAAGAATTAATTCCACAATGTAATTACACTCAGTGTGAATTTGCCAACTTCTAAGTTAATTAAATATCCCCCTACCCTCTGCCATGAAAAGTTCATGACATACCTTCTCTGCAGCGTTCATTATTTAACACACTTTTGTCAGTTCCTTCCCATTTGGCTCCTTGCAAGGTAATTAATTCCAGATTTTCAAGACTCTTCAGATACAGGTTTTTTCCATGCCGTTCATCATTCTTGCCCCGCTACCACAGTCACAGCCAGTTCGCCCATGGGTAAGGCAAGACAGTGGGTAGCGAAGGGAGAAACACTTGGATCATGCTCCAACACTGGGCTTCCCAGTGCTCCCAGTCCAAGAATCCCAGCTGCCAGTCCTGTGTAGCACTGTCCACGTACCCCAGCTACCAACACACATTCACATCTCTCTTCCAACCCAACTGGTTCCACCTAAAAAACCTCTTGAACACAAACCTTTATCCCAGAGTGAGTTTTTACAACATATTAACAGCTCCCAAAAGTAGAGATTAGCTACAGTAAACTGAGGAAACTTGACAGATCTGATTTTACAGTAAGGTTTAAACTCAAGTGGTCCAAGATCAGAGGTTTAAAAGAAAAATAAAAATTATTCACCCCGGCACACATATCCCACACAGAACATGTTTGGAGTACTTCATAAATCCATATAAAAAAAATTAAAATATTATATACATTATTTATTTCTATATTACAATGCTTTGGAATTTTAGTACCATCAATCATTATGGTGTCATTAGGAATGAGTTTTTCTGCTGGTTGGTTGGGGTTTTTCTGCTTTATATTTCCTCTTTTTTCTTTGGCTGCCTAATTACTTACTGTTGTAAAACCCACATTTTTTTCTGGACAGCATAACTTCTTTGGATCTTTCCAGCCAAACGTTATGCTACTCTAAAATGCTCTCTGGATTGAAGCAGAAAGGTTTGAACATCCACTCCAGGCTAAGCCTATCTTATTTGAAAATAGTAAACCCAGGAGAATAAGAGGGTTGAAGAGATTATTAAGTCAAAGACATATTTTTGCTTCCTTCAAGTTAGAATGAAGACTGTAGATATAAAAGAATCCTTTTTCCACTTGTTTCTTGTTAGGATTCTGTTCCAAATCTTTCAACAAGAAAAATAACATTGCATGCACCACACTCTGACTAACCTCTTCCCTATAACTTCTCTCCAAAAAGTGGTTAAGGTAGTGGTAATGTATAAATACTTCTAAATACCTTTTCTTCATTTCTTTGAAATTATATATATATGTGTGAAATCTGTAACCTGGAGGAATAAATTCCTGAAATCTCTAAAGTCCTTTATTTTTCAACTTGCATTTGCACTGGTATTTAAGCATTTGCCTTATGTAAAGGTTTCTGATACTCCTTTTGCACAAAATTATGATACAACATAAAACCACTAACTCCTTGGACTCATAAATTCTGCAAGAGTTTGAAATACAAGAGCATACTAAAGCTGTAACTTGGACTGTGTTTATACATATACTGCAGGCATGTCCAGGTAAGACTGGCTGATGCTTAGAAAAAGCTGTACTAATTCAGGAGTGGTTCTGTAGGTATCTTTACTTACCAGTGGGCCACTCCTGGTAATAGTTGAGTAAGGGAAGGAGCACGAACAACCAGGATACAAGTCCAAATTTAAAGAAAAATATATACTGACTACAACTGGTTTTATTAGGTTAAGTTCCCATCTGCCAAAAGAGCTTCTGTAAAGCCAACAGCTCCTAGGAACAAATACTGAAATGTCTTCTACATCATATTAATTCACAAAACTGACTTCTTCAGACTCAGAAACCATCACTGTGTAGTGCTGACCTGTTCTGTAGTTTCAGGTGCATTACTGGAGCCATATTAGGGCTCACAGAGCCTGGAAGAGCACTTTTCTCTGCAGCTTCTAAGCACCACTGGAATATAAATAATGCATAATAACAAAGAGCGCATTTGTACCTCCACTACAAAAAAACACTCTCCCTGAATTTTATAAATCAAGCTGTGTATACATTTTTACTCTTTAACCTCTACAAGCTGTATGTCAGACAGACCCTTTAAAAATCACAAGTTTTTGCAAAGTCAGGCACTGCATTAATGCTTTATTTCAGAAGTTACACTCTGCATACATATGTATGAAGAAATTACGGGGGGGGAAAAATCAGCTCAGCTTATTTGTCTTTTGGTCACCTAATCAAAAAGGTGATTGGATTCATTTTTACCATATCAATGAAGTCACTGGAGAGTAATCACAACTTTTTTTCCATGTGAGAGATGAATGACCTTCGCCATGGCCATAACAAAAGACAAGCCCGTGTTTCTTCCAGGTGCACCAAGGCCACGATTCACTTCTGCTTGTACATGTAGGGAATATCAGATGTACTGCAGCATCACTTGCTTCCTTCCCACTCCCAGAGCATATCAAGAGGCTTACTTAATTTCTTTCATAGCAGACCAGGAGGACACCAGCTAGGAAAATACGTGAGATATTAAGGATGCTTGCTATGCATGATTAGAAGTGGATACAGCAAGGTATTCTTCATTTCCCAAGGGAAATCACTGCCCTAATGCAGCCAAAGTATTTAATGCTACAGCTGAAGATTACAGAGTGGGACACAGGCCTTGGTTGAAATACATAAAATGCAAACATGCCTCCCTGAAATTCAGTTCAGTAATTTTGTTCACCACAGATCTGTCTGAACCTCACTACTGCCTTTCCTCGTCCAAAATGTTGTTTGATACTTTCCTTGTCATTTTGTGAATTCTCTTTCCCATCAGAGTAAATTCAATGCACTTTCTTCACAACTATACCACCCACAACTTTACAGAGTCCTCCCTTCTTGACCTTATCTCTTTTGTCCTACAGAAAATGGCACTGCTGGCTTTTATCTAAGAATTTGCCATTTCACTGCTGGAGCCTTCCTGGATCCCATAGATGTTATTACTATGACAACACAGAAGGTGGACTTCCACATCCAAACTTGTAGGCAAGCACAGCTTTCAACCACAAGGTTTTCACACGGGGCTGAACCTCAGCAACCTGACTGCCTTGTGACCCATTCTCCCCTTCACTTGGCCTCCTAAAGCAGGAACTTTGGCTGTTCTCTCCCCTTACTGGAGGGCATGGCTAATCCACTGGTGGATCTTCAGCAATGGATTCACCAGGTATTGCTCCCATCAAGTGTGTTTGTACAGTTTCCAGCAAATCTACCTGGTAAATTCTAGAAACATCCTTGGGTAAGCAGGCTACTTAAATACCTGGCTACCCTGCCAACACAGGAGTAACAGAATCTGGTAAAACTTAAGCCTCTTGCAAAGCTATGAGCTGCACTGGCTACATGATGAGTGTGGAAAGTAATAGAATAATGGATTATATTCTTTTTCATTGTATATTTATTTAAATAAGAAGTATATAAATACATAATCAATTAATATATTAGTTATAATAACTGGAAATAAGTAAAATAATAATGGAAAGTCTCTGGTACAGCTGTCAGACATTGAGCAAGTCTAAAATATAGAGTCATGGTAAACTTAAAAATGGAACAAAACTACCTTGTGTTCTAGAAAAGGGAGGGAAGGTGGGACATGGGGGACACTTAGATGTAATCTTGGCACCCAAATGGCATTTGAAATACCTAGAGCTCCTCCTTTTAACATCAACCTGATCTCTTTTAGCTCTACAGGCAGAAGACCTTCAGCCTACTCCCACTGTACTCTGGGCCCTGCTGAGACATTAAGACATTAAGAGTAGAACTCTGCTGCTGCTCCCTTCTTAACACAAGAAACAAGGGTCAAGACACAGGATGAAGTCTTTGGTTCTGGCTGATAAAAATGAGCTGCATGGGTAGAGAGTTCAGGAGAGCAAAGGAGATGGATTGCAGATTGTGAACCTCAGCAAACAACACTTTTCCTCTTTGTTCATGAAAATTCAAGAGGTTGCAAAGCAATGTTACACTGGACAACATGCAGGTTGCCTGTGTTCTCATTTATACAAACCTAATTTAGTATTACATTTCCTCTTCTTTCCGCCACAGTCTCTGTTTCTTACAAGCAGCAATCCCAGTATGGACTCCAAAAAAAAAAAAAGCCTCTGAAAGTTCAGCTTTCTGAATACTGTTGTGTAGTTACTTGCATCTGTAATTTGCTCCCACAGAAATAATTCTCAGATGCTTGGAAAATGTGACTTAATTTTGTGATGTGAATAAGTTTTCCTGTGTAAATCTCTCTATACAATTTTATGTTATTCTTTCTAAAAAACAGAAACTACTACTGCATTCTAATTCCAGTTCCAGAGTGAATACTGAGATTTATACCCTGAATTTTACCACACAGTATCACAAGGGAACAGCTCAAACTTCCCCTCCCACATTTCCTAACAACAGAAGTGTTTTGTCCACTTTCCATTCAGCATTTAAGATAGATGCATTTACTAAACATAGGATAAAGTAAATGAAACACTAAGTAATGAAAATATATTTCCACATACTTCACAAACCCATGTATGAAACTCTTGTAATTGGTGCAGAAGGCTTTGGCATGTTACTCATCACAATTTTATCTCATAAGAAGAAAAACAAGGAAGATGATTTACCCCCAAACTCTCTGGCATCCAATCACAGGTAAACTGATGGCAAATCAGCCATCAACATAAAGTTCTTTTAGTTGCTCCAGAAAAAAAGAGGGAAGTTCAGGGGGAAAAGAAAAAAGCATTCTTTAAGGAGGGAACTACACTACAAATAATTACATATATTTATTTCAGAAAGAAAGCAACACAACAGAAGGACAATTTTACGAAGCAACAGTCTGAGATTTTGCCTTCCTAAAGCAACTAACACAGAAAGTATTTGCCCCGTTCTGGATTTGCATGCATATACAGGTCCTGCTACGTGGTACAGGGATGGAGCTTTGATGAAATTGTTTCTCAAAGCACATACCACCCAATATTGAAAAAGCCCTGGAAATTAAAGGTTCCACACGTGTATCCACCCACCTACCATTCAGATGGAGTGTTTGATATGCAGTAGCCCTTGTCTCCTTCAGTTTGAGGCCACAGTGCAGGATCATTTTATTGCTGTTCTGTATAAGACAGTGGCAATATCCCATCGCAAATGTTTCCACTAAAGTAATGAGTGATTATCAACAGCATCATGGCACAAAATCCTTTTGTTATACTTATTTAAGTACATGAAGAAATAAAATAAGTGTGACTTGCCAAAAGTCATGTAGGCAGCCCATGGCAGGGATGAGAACTGAATGCAGATCTCCAGGTAGTTTATTACCCATAATATTACACTGCCTTTTAAAAAAAAGTAGAAAATTCTTAAGAACATGATGTTTTTCTTCCCTTCTGATGATTAAATAGATTTCTTGCTTTCATAGGTCACCAGGCTAGGTAAACAGTTTACTCCAGATGTGCAAAAAAGGTGGCTTAAAAAACACCTTCACTTTGGCTGGACTGACTGTACATCTCTTTAAGTATAGAGGTTGATGATTCCTTGGGCCCCACTGATTATCTTTAAAATCTACATGGTCATTTTGATTAATATCTGACAATGCTCTTCTGTAATCCTGGCAAGGGTTAGTTGCATATCATTACTAGCTCACTCGTCTTTTTGTCTAGCAAAAGCTATAGGAGCAAATTCATTCATGATAGAGATTCATGTCTTCTCTGAAGAAAAGAAGAAAGGACCTGACCTTTCTCTCTCTTTCTTTTCCCCTCTGTCCCAAGAGATTGCATTCAAACGTCTCCTCCACAGAGAGTAATGTTAAATATTGAGCTGTGGTAAACATCACAGTCAGGCAAAAGAACATTAAAACAACATGTCTTTTACATAATAATGTACCTACTGCAATGTAAGAAGAGAAAAATGTGTGAATTATTTGGATTAAGCCTATGAAATGCAATTAGAAATAACCAGAAGCCAAAATCATTAGGAGAGAATGAAAAACCTCATCCCTACAACATCATACAAAATTCATGGTGAGCCCTATCCTGCACTGCACTTAGTGGTTGTCACCCCACCTTACAGAGGATGTATCAGGGAGTTAGTGAGGGTGAAGACAGTTGTTGAAACACTTCTGTATATTGAAAGTCTATGAATACATGTTCCCTTTAGGAGATATCACAGATTTCTAGATAATCATGAATAGCAGATAAATGGTGATACGATGGTTTCCCATAGGAGTGGTGGCTCGTATTCTCCTTAAAATGGATAAAGATCAACTACCATCAACCAGGGAGTCTCACTGAGAAGCATGCAGCCTCCAGCAGATACCAGCTGAATCACTGCTAAGTGGATCTCAGGTATTGTTTGGAGTGCAAGAGAAGGTTGTCACCTGGGGCCTCTTCAATCATCTCTCCTTATCAGTCAGCATGTGTGAGGTCAATGGTAAAAAAAAAAAAAGTCACATGGCCATGTGGACACTGATGTCAAACTGCCAGGACACAGTTTAAGAAGGAGCAGGAACAAAGAGCAGTCTGTTTTCTCTAGGTTTTCTCCATGAGGGAATAATTTCTCCCCTTTCCTTGGAGATGATGTAACTCAATCTTTCAGTCTCCCAAGAAGTGGGAAGTTGAAGGGACATGTGGCTATTCATGTCATTTTGGGCACAGTTGTTTCACTAAGCAAGTAGGCAAATCATATGAACTGGGCACAGGAATTCCTGATACATTTGTGATTTGTTTTTATGCATACAAAGCATAAAGCATGAGTATTTTTGGGTAATTAAGGACAATATAAATTAAATTAAATACGAATCACACATTATATCTGCAACCTAAACTAGCAAGTATGTTCATTCTATACATGAACATACTCTTGAAGTTGCAGGATACTAATTTAAAAGACAAGCAATTCAAAGCTTCCTTGGTTGACACCGCAGGTAATGAGATTTTTTTCTCCCTGACATCGTGTGTTTCATCTTACCTCATAACTAAATTATTGAGTGTATTTTTAAATATATATATAAGCATTCTAAACACTGAGTTGTGTATGACCTACTTATTTTGAGTTTTCAATTAAAAAAATACATATTCTAGGAAAAAATATTTCCTACGCAATTGTCGACAGAAGGAAGTTGATTTAATCCATGAAACAAAGACTTGTGAAGGTGAGACACATGCACCAGTAAGCACGAGAAATCTTTTGAACTGCAGTACTAATCCTAAGAAACGAGTTTTCAATTAAAAACCAGCATTTCCCATGTGACTCTACCAGTCACTAAAGCACATGACAGCTTCAGCCGATATCAGCGTGGCGGCTGTGACAGGTCACCCCACAAAGGATGTTGAATGTGCAACTCGTGTATAATTGGCTTGACTGTAGGTATTTGCATGTATATAAAACACAGGCTGATGTGAAGACTTCATCAGCATGAAATGGAGGTGGTTGCATTCTCCATGCATGACCAAAGCCGTGAGGACAGTCAAAGACTTCAATGAAATGAATGTCTTTAACACTTTCACCACCTCTGCTGAGCGCACAAATAGACTGATGGGACAATAATGGAAGGTGAATCATCTGCAGGTTTTATTACTGCTACACGTTTACCCTGTCCACGCCTTTCTTCCCTCCCACTGAAACAAAAATAAAAATCAGCTGAGTCAATTATAAAGGATTTTAAGTTTGTTGGAAAATAGACAAAGTGCTTAAATTTCAAGAGGCTTCTAAAAGAAATCCTGAAGTCTGCAGAGGAAGTCTCCATCCATGGCAGCACCTCTGAAGGTACACCCGTGGAACAGGGAGAATGACCACTCTGGAGGGAAAACCACCCAAAGAACTTGTCAGAAGACTGGAACAAAAAGAAGGAAAAAGAAGTAATATTTTTACCCCCTGTATCAACTTTAGTATCCACTGCATAGTGGGTAACCAGTCTGGAAGACCCCCTCTTCCTCCCTGCTGAGCTACAAGAGGACTCAGGGTAAGTCCCATGCTACCTTTGAAATGCTCACACACAGGATCACTGATAAAGGTAGTCCCACGTCTGATGAAGACAAAAGGTGCTGCTTAAACTAAAAAATCTAGAAAACTGATTAGAATTTATATTGGTTTTTGAACAAGCAACACTGAGGAAGGTACCATTATCCTAAGCAGAGTATGGAGCCCTGCATGAGTGCAGGAGGGGCTTCACAATGTACCACTGATTTAGAATACAGCTCTGACAAGGAAAAGGAATTCTTCCCTTGTTGCTTTATACAACCCGCCAACATGGCTTTTCCATCTTCTGGAGATCCACAAGCCTTCACATCTGCACGCAAACATACTCCATTCCTGCATATGAAGCACGAGTTCAAGTATCTCTGCATCTGGTTGCCTGTGCCAGTCCTCACATTGTGAGTTGTTGAGGGCAGAACTATTAAAAAGAAATATTTGGAATATTTCTAGAATTTATAGCCTCAATTGATATTGTTTGCCAACCACTTTTATGTTTTACTTGAAGTCATAAAATACAAAGCCACAGGGGTGGGCAACAGAAGTAAAACAAAAACTACAACTATGGCTAAGTTCAAGAGAGTTTGGTTTTGTAAAATGAAGACAGAAACCTAAAAGCACAGTCATGTGTTTTCTTTTTAAAAAAGTGAGTGATTTACCAGTCTGCACTGGATTTAAGATTTTAACAAAAACATGCCAGAAAGTAGGAACAAGGTTACAGTTACGAACAATAAAGTTTTTATGTAGGCAAAATAAAGCTATAAAGCATTACAAAAATACTTGTCTAGAAAATTTAAAATGGAGAGCATGAAATTTATCAGATATGATTTCCAGCCTACACTTGAGAAACAAATTGGTAAAGCATTTCCAAAATGCCTCACCACTAACATCTACCAAGAAACAAAAGGTGAAACCACGCAAAGGTTTCACACCCTCTCTCTCTGCATGTCTGAATCAAAAAGAATGGGGAGTTATTAAAGAAAGACATTTGGGTAAGCAAATAATTAAAATAAATATTTCAAATAAACTTGCT